TGCTCATTTGGGGAGTGACTTTAGGAAAATAAACTTTGTTACTGAATAAATTCAAGTTTGTTAGAAATAGTCCATATAATATTTTTAAAAAGTTATCTGATAAATTCAGTGGTGTCCTAGGAAGCCAATTATGAAAGCCCAGTGGTAGAATTTCCCTTATAGTTCAAATAAGTGGGCAATGCATAAACTTCTTTGTAGTCCTAATCTGTTTTAGTTTGGTAATCCTGTTTTCAAAGATTATGAAACTGCAAAGGGATTAAAATATGGCAATGAAAAATGGCAAATATCTTCATGTGTTGTGATGCACAGGTAGCATCTAAACAGAGAATGTGACATTGTTATACAATATTTTAAAAGTTGAATATAACATTTGAGGAGAAATTCATTTGAAAAATGTTTTGTACTTGAGAAATGGCAGTTAATAACCTTATTTTAAATGAATAACAAAAACTTAATAATGAACGTTCTCACCCAGTAGGTCATAAGCTATGTAAAGGTGGGAACAGAACTGTGTACAAGAGCAAGTGCAATACTATGAACCCAGCAAGGATTAAAAAGGATAGCTACTAAATGATTAACTTAAAACATAAATGCACTGCACATTCAAAGCCGATGTTCTTAACTCCAGTGTAATATTTTCTACAAAATGTTTCACTCTTTAATTTACTTACATGACATAAAAAAAGTGTGTGATTAGAAGAGAGTTGACCCGCGCAGAGGCAAGTCAAAGCACTTATCTTAGATTGTATTCACACACAGCAGCTCCATTGAAAATGGAACTTCAAGTAAATGAAGCCGTTGCAGTCCTTCTACAGTTCTAAGCAGAAAGAAAGAAATACTTCTCCGACCGTATTGCTAAGCAAAAGGACAGTTCTGACTAAACTAGCATGTCTCCTCCATATGCAAAGACAGAGGTTTAACCTCTTCTTTGTGGCTCACTGGTGAAAAGCTTTGCAATCCATTCTCCTTTTTTTCACTTATTTTTCATGTCTCATTGGCTGGAGTACCTGTTAATTACCTGCTATAGCTTAAAACCCACTACACAACACACTAATGTGAAACATTTTGATGAAAATCTTTTACAGAATGTATGAAGTAACCTTGTTAAGAAATGAGTGGTAAACCAGAATGCACTAATTTACATTTCTTTCAAATGGTCCAATGACAATGATGAAGTGAGCTAAATATTTATTCAAATCTCCTGGGTATAGACACTGGTCTGTATCGATAAACATTACGTTTTCATCCATGCTGGAGGCAAATTAATGACTAATTTGAGCCATACAAGGCTTGGGTTTTCAGAGTTTTGAATCCCAGGTAATACCATTAATTAATTATGTAAACTGATAAAAACTCAGCCTCAGTCTGGTCTTTGATAAATTAGATCTAATGACATTTTGCAGGGTTGTTAATTGAGATGATACCTATAAAATACTTGGCATTTAGTAGACACTCAAATTTTGATTCCTTCCCTATATCCTAACTCATTTAACATTAATACAACACAAAAAAAGTAAGTGGGAACAAAATAAAGAAGTAGTCATTTTGTTTTTCTTTTTTCTCAGTGCAGTAATACATGAAGAAGGAATGTCCAAAAGATAAATATCTTCAAAGGACTATCCTTAGTCTATTAAAT